ATTTTATCCGCTAATGAGATACTTTATAGTGATGTCATAATACTAATGTAAGTCATTTGTCAGCTGTGGACCTAGCCGACTCACTGGGTAAAAACCAAATCGTTTCGTATACTTTATTATCTGAGTATTTCATAACAACGTAACTTCCTTTTAGGATTCAAACGCAGTTCTTATTGTCTGGCAGTAAGGTCGTCAATAAAGATGTTTGATAACAGTGAACCAAAAACCCACAACTGACGAAACATTAAGCTGATCTATTTTTAAACCCTTTACACCCTAAGATCAGTATGCACACTCTTTATACTGTTTTATATACATTTCTTAAGGTGCTAACAAAGAGAATTTGCTTAACAATCAAGAGCTCCTGTACTTGTTGATCATTTCCAATATTCTCATAACCTTAATGTTTGAGTTAGAAGTTATACTATAAGGAGAAATTAGATGCTAGTAAGTCTTAGTGGTTAAAGGGTTAATTGTGTTTGAAACATTTGAGAATGATACATTCAGTGGTCATTGTAGTCCGCCCTCGATTTAGGCAACGCTTTGAAGCAATTTCCTTGTGGTAGATGCATTTCTGCCTGACACTCGGGGCGTCGAAATTTTCCTTGCCTTTGGCTCACTCTTGCGTATTTTTCCAAACACTCTCAGCAAAACGTGTGAAATTCCGTGAAAAACAGGATTCAAGTCGTAAATTGGCGAGTGGAGTTAAACTGATTTAATCCTTATTTACCCGTTGGCCCCTAAGAGTGACTAACATCTAATTTCTCCATATGATATCACCTCTGATACATATATTCTCCTTGTCAGCACCTTAGAAAATGTATAAAGAACAGTAAGGAGAATATACAGACTGATGTTAGGGTGTATAGGGTTTATGTTTAGACATTTAAGAATAATGCATTCCGTGGTCATTAGATGGCCGACGGAATTTCTACTGCTACTATTTGCCGTACTTTGAAAAATTGTTTCCAGGGTATGAAGGTGTAAGGGGGAAAGTTTTAGGCAAAATATCGCTAACGGTGGACTTACTAGCGAGCTTCTTCTTGGAACAGTTCGTCAGAAAACTGAGTATCAACGCTTTGATTTAACTTTTATACTTCATCACCCAACATGGTTCCCAGGGTCTCGCCATATCCCACACTAGTATGGCGAGAGTATGTAGTATTGTCTTTATGGCAAACCGATTTCCGCTTGATTGATTTATTAAATCTTTATTGATTAATTAAACCAAACACCTGCAGACATATGTGCAAATTTACAATATGATAGAAGAGGAGTGATCTAAAAATTATAACTTTCTTTACAAACATCAAACTAAATAAAGTTAAAAAGAGATCCATTTACAAAGCAGCGCTTAAAGCGCTCTGTGCGAATATGTGGTAGCATATAGTCATGACCACGTTGACGTAAAGATTGATATGTACATTTTTTCGGTAGAGGATCTGTTAAACAATGTGTATCTGTAGCTGTGATTTAGCTGTAAGTTGTTTATCCCTAGTTTGAATTACATCACTGATGAATATGCGCTCCTCGGTGTAGCCATGTTTTCATGCTTGCTTACAGAATTAATCGATCTTAGAGAGGTATTTACCACCATAAGCACATATCCATACTTAAATTATACGGACATAATTAAGCTATGAAATAAGATCGTTAACTCTTCCAAAGTGTACCCGTAGTACTAACAAATTCTGATGATATAGAGTCTTGAATTGACCTTATATTATCCATCATATTATGAAATTGAGTGTCCCAGTTGCATGGATTTTCATGAAATTTTACTCCCAATAATTTAAGTTCGCTCTTTCTTCTAGTGGGCACAGTCCTAGGGGGGTTTTTGGGGTCTTTCCTCTTATTACTAGTTCCCATGTCTTAGTTAGGTTTAATTTCATACGATTTATACTTGACCAAAACTCAATGTTCTGAATTTAACTAACCGACGAGTCATCAGGCAAATTTGGCCCAATTGGAATACTCGGGTGATATAGTCTGCAAACTTAATAAGCAGGTTTGTTTCCTGGTTCACAACAGTATGTCACCATTGTATTAACCACAATGGAGAACAACACTGGACCTAAGACAGTCCCCTGTGGAACACCTCTGTCGATTTCAACGAACTTTGTTGTGACACCGTCGACTACAACTCTCTGTTTACGGTTCCTCAAAAAATTGATCATCCAGTTAATAACGTAAGGGTTGATATTATATAACTTGAGCTTATTACATAAAATATGATAGGAAACAAAATCGAAAGCTTTACTAAAGTCGAAAGAATACACCATAACAAAGTCCGCGTCTTTATCCAACCAGTTTAACCAATACTGTTGACATTTAAGAAGGGCCATTGTGGTATGTCCTTTCTTATAGGCAAACTGGTTAAGCCTAATAGATGACTGCAGGATAGTAGATATTTCTTGTTTGTAAGCGGGCCTTTCAAACGTTCGCATGATTATGTTTGTAAGTGACATGGGTCTCAACTGACTACATTCACTGAATGGGGATACCTTAAGCATAAGTGTAACATTACCCAATTTCCATAGACGTGGAACTTTTTGCTGTTTAATTAAGTTATTGAAGATTTTCGTTATTATAGGAGCTAGATAATCAGCATAGTTACGCCAGAGCCAGTAGGGAATTTCATCAGGCCCAGAAGCTGTAAGTGTCTGGTGCCTCGAGAGATTCTAAACAGAAAGCATGGTTACCTCGGGACATGTGAACCATCTGGTATCTCTAGGGCTCTGGCGCCTCACATGTATCATCAGTGTTAATAGATTGAAAATATGCGTTAATATTATCAGGATTTATTACTTTGCTAATTAAGGTACCCTGAGTTTTCCTACCGGTAATTATTTGGACTGTGTCCCACCATCCCTTAGATCCCCTGTAGTGTTTCCTGTTTTCATTGCGGACAGCATTTATTTGATTTTTACAAATCAGGTCGTTGATTTCTCCTCGGCGAGTGGCTCTGATAAGATCGCTGTCTGTTTTTGCATTCTTATTTCTTATCTTACAAAGGTGCTTCACCAATGGTGACATGTAGGGCGGGTCTCTCGAAGATGTCTTGACCGCAATCAAGGGAAAACAATCATTATACATTTCCATTAGTTTCTGACTTCACAGTTCAACACTCTCATTAGGGTCATCCAAAGAGCTTAAAGTACTCCAATCATATCCTGAAGCCTTAGGTCCATGGCAATTTACAGTGTTCACGGGTGTCTCTAAAGCTGATCTTTTTCCTGCTGGGTTTTTACCGGAGCAGAGGGATGGACAATAATAGCAAGATGATCAGATCTCACAATTCTTTTCATTAAAAAGCCGGGTTTCTAAAGGAATGGGCAGTTTATAATGAAAACATCTAGAGTTCGGTTGGCACGTGTAGGAACTTTAACCAAACGACCCAGCAGCATCAGAATTTTTTTTGTTTATGACTTAGCCGTTTTCCAGAACACCCACGTCTAAACATTTGGAGACATGACATCGTCCCTTATGTAAAGTAAGCGCATCTTCGACAACAAGACGTAACTTTTAATAAGATTGTTATGATATTCCTTAAACATGTACTCCTATTTGGTTCAAGATGTTTTCTAAGGGCATGTGAAAAAATGTGAACTGGAATTCAGCTGTAACGGTGCATCATGGCAGTGTTACAAAGGGCATGAGAAGAATAAGGTGAACTCGCGAGAGTTTATTGATCGGCCCTTGGAACAGTGAGAAAGAAGGTCGTATGATTCTCTCAAATGGCTGAAATTTCATAAATTGAATTTCTGAAATTAATTTTTCTGCCAAAAGATATAATTTCGAATGCAGCATAGGAAAGTTTCTAATCAACAGCATGTGGTTTCGAACTTGCAAAGATATTTCTCTACTATATATATTTTGGTCTCGCGACACACAGCACGAAAGCTCTCTGAGTTGTCCAATTAATGGACGCGGCACAAGGATTTTTCTTCCAAAAAATCGAAGAAAGTTTGCCAAGTTTCTAGCCACAAACACCAGTCTAATAAACTCGGTTAGCGTGCTGAAACTCATCTGCTTTTTTATTTCTACAGGTATTTTACAGTAACTGTGATTATTTTACCCCGGTGATAAACAGGTTTAATCCTGTGAGGGCCCGCTAAGTGAAAGCTCACACGACAATCCGCAAAGCTGGATGTGCATGAGACTTAAGCTGAAAGGCTGCGATTCATAGCGTGATTAGATAGCTCTATGCGTTGTCTTGTTGACTTAATCAATCGGAGTGTACAAATCTCATATGGACTGATGAAGTTGCTTTTGATAAGCTTTCACCACAACCAATCAGTTTTATGCTAGAGAGTGGCGGGAGGTGGTCGGAAGCTGTCAGTATTTCCTCGACGCCAACGGAATTTTTGTGTCTGGATTATTTGGACTTTGTCTGAGACCAATTTTCTTAAAACAAAATTACATACCCTCGTGCAGTCGCCGCTCCACTAGAGCCAGCGATCTCCTGCTTCCACAAATCGTTGTTCAGCAACCCACTGAGCCAATCCGCCAATCTGTCAGTGTGTGATTCAGTGACTGATGTTCAGAGGGGGTAAGTTTCTAAAGAAACTGTGGTGCTGCGTCGGTGTGAGAGTATAGCAGGTAATTTAGTGTTAACGACTGGGTTGAAAACGTAAATTGGCCGCCGTAAAGAGTAAAAAAGCTGACGTTTCGAGCGTTAGCCCTTCGTCAGAGCGATTCATGAGTTAGTCAGTCTTCTTTAAGTCAGTTGTTTAATCAAATAGTCACCCGGTTTCTCTTACGACTCGTTTTCCTTTTTATAACTTACTACTAATGCAAATTACCGCAGTTAACATTTCCGTCCAGAATAACGATCAAGAAGATTTTATTTTGTTTGAATTTAAGCTCAGAAGGGCACAGAGTACCATTATTATCACAATTATCAAGCTTTTGTAAATATGATTTTGATTAAAAGGAATTTCATTTAACCATCTTCCCTCATTCAACCATTTATTTTGATGTGAGCTTTAAAACAGCACCTAATAGCTGCAATATTGGTAATTCGATTCTTTTGTTTTGCCGGTATAGCACCATTTGTAGCTGTTGGTATGAATGCCACAAACGTGCCAGGGTTGACAGCAATAATCCCAGTTCTTGTCCAAGTCAATGTAGCACCAGTAGTAACTGTACCCATGGAGGCCGCATTCATGTTCAGCTAAACAGCGTTGGCCTTTCACGTTGACGGAAGAATATCTGATTGAACACGAGGTCTCGGTCGACTTGGTGCTATTTGTTTGGCAAGTCTGATGATCCTTTCCGCCATTAAACTTACATTGGGTAAAACAGCATTTGGCCTCCGTCGATTTTGCCCAGTCAGTGTAGCACCACTTCTCCTTCTTGCCGTTAAAACCACAGGTGGAATTTATGCAGCGCTTGCCTTGGATTGTCACATCAGACTCATCTGCTGCAAGGTTTGGAACGATCAAATACTCGTCTACTGGCGGTGAAGTAGCTTGGTCGTTCGAGCGTTGCCGCTTAACGTCATCGATCTCATCTAACTTGGGCTCTCTTGGCTGAAATTTGAGATAGGTCAGCCAGGATGATTCCCTTTTCTTGCTCTTGTTCTTGATGTGTCTGTTGGGAGCTACATGGTGCAAGCTGGAAGAATCGTGGTCACTTGCAACGATCTCGGGTTTATCGCGATTGAGGAGCGGTAGAGATGCCTTTGCATTATACAGCAATAAACTAGCTCTGCTGGTGTACATTGCATTTCTAGCCTCTTGCAATACGTCAACTTCTCTTGGTAAATCTATGCCCAACTCTATGCGAGCAAGAGAGTAACCTTTCGCAGATACACCGTTGTTTTGTATCAAACCCACCACCCCTTGAAGGACTTTGCGTTTCTTGAGAGGAATAGTTGATTGCTCCACCCTGCTTAAGTCATTCGCTGCATTTGCCAATCGTAAGTTCACAGGAACTGCAACTTGAGCTCGTGCAGTTTTTGATTTTGCTGAATTCTCATTGCAGTCATCAACAAAAATTTTGGCCGCCTGGTAGCGATCTTGAGCAAGGTCATTACCAATAAGTCTTGCCTCCAGTTCACTCACGCTCAGAATGTCCACGTAAGAGTCAGCAGTATTTTTTCCGATGTAAGCAAATGAAAAACCATTCTCGCGATTGCCTGAACTTGAAGCATCGCAGCAAACCGCTGTCCAGAGGTAACTAGGGACGGTGACTCGATTGAAATCTCTGTGAGCCACGTCTCCTTCCAGGTCATGTTCTCTGTTTGGAATTCGTATTCTCTGCTGGACAATTCCCGTCACAAAATAACGTCTAGCGCCGGAAAAAGAACAATTTGTCCTCATTGTCCTCATGGCGGCTTCTTCCATTTTCCTCCACGACTGCTGGTTGAAGCAGGGATCTTGAGGAACGGCGTTTGTCAAGGTAAAAGTCGCCGTTCTTCCTTCTCCACATTGGTAGAAGTTTGGATTGAGGTGACCCCGGTCGTAATCCGTGTTACGGTAGTCTGCGTTTATCGCCTGTACTGTCTTGTAGCGTTCAGTTTGCTGGGAAGCTGTCTCCATATTTCTCTTAGATCTGGTGTCAGAGGCTACCAGAAGCTGTTAAGAGAAAAACAAAAAGTCTGAATAGGGCTAAAATCATAAAACGTTTTCAAAAATAAAATATGACCAATTTTATTTCATTGAATTGATTGAACATTGGTTTATTGTCTGTTGGTGGAACCACCGAGCAAGAAGAGGAATACTGGTACTTTTCTGAGTGGAACATGATTTTCTGTCGATTGGTGAATAAGTAATATGAATGTACTGTGGTCGGCTTTACCTTACAGAAGTAGAAATGTTCAAAATTTTCTAGATTTCAATAAGGCTCGTTTTTCAAACTGAGATATAAATTAAGATTCCAATCAGCAACTTGTTCCGATTCATAAATTACGAGGTCGAATGTGTTACCTACCTGAGGCTCGACAAACCATGTGGACCTTCTCTCTGGCTCGGGAGAACCCGAGCAAGGATCAGGCAGGGTATAAGCTGAATACACAGGAATCTTTAAGCTGGTGCTGTACAGTGTGGCATAGCGGTATGCATTGTCATACCGTTGGCAGATGCTTTTGGGCGATTCAGCGAAACTCCGAGTAAGACTTGGCGGGGTTCTTTTGTAAAAGTATTGCATGCAGTTGCCGAAACCTTGATCGACTTCACATTTCGCACTGAATGCATTTAACCACAAAATCAAGAATACCTGGTTTAAGGCGGTTTTCATGACTCCTTAAATATCTATTACAGAGTGGTGTTCTCTGCATCCAGTTTCCTTCGTGAGCTTCTAACGCTGGTCGTTGCAAATTATCACTATTCAAATGAATTCGAAGCTATTCAGCCGTTAGATTATATTGATTATGTAATGATATTTGCTAAGGGATTACCTTAAACATTGTCATGGCAGCCCTTGCGTGGAGACGAGGAAAGAGGAGATCGTCCACATTTCCAATGCCCTGAAGACTCCTTTTGCTCTTTGGCCTTCTTTTGCGTTACCAAATAAGGCCATAGCAGCTTTAATGAATCGACATAGGTGATTCTAAACCTAGTTTTATGCGATACTTTATTTTACATTGGCGAGTCGCCACATGTAATTAATGTTTTACACGAACTTTGCGTGGTTCTTGTTGAACATTCAAGACCTTGTGCGTGGGTGTAGTTCAAGAAGGTTAGGAATGTCTTTGTACCACCTCATCTCTGTTTGGGTCGCCACTGTAAATAATTTGGCTATTGCTTTCTTTATAACTTGTCGAGGTTTAGACTCACCAGTTTTTCCAAAATTACGGGTTTGAAAGGAGCGACTAACGAACTCATAACAGAGTTCGTTGCCTTTAAGAAGTCAATAAAAGGTACCCCAATTTAAATTCTATATCATGACTTTCCAAAATTGCTTTCCATTAATACAATTTTGTAAAATCAAGGTCAACTTCTAAACTTTAAGAATTTTCATCCAAATTTGTTAGAGGGGTGTTGAATGGAAAGCAGAACAGGTAAAGGTGCGTGGGAAGAAGTGCCTTTGATATTAGCATAAAACGGCCTATTTGTCATGATTCGTGGGTGTTTCTGTTCATGCTCTGAGACGTTTTAAGAAGTAATTTTTATTTGGAGTCAGTTGAAAGTTATCTGTGATTGCTTTAGCTTCGCTTTACTTGGTTTTTTGATTTGTTCTGAAAATTCGTGCCACTTTCTTAAATCAATCAGATTCAAAAGTAAAACCACTCGCTTGTTCAGGTCACTCGCGTTTTCCTGCGCTTTGCTCTGTGATCGCTTTTATTTTGATTTTTGACTCAGACGAAAAGTTCGATGCTCCTAGAAGAATGGAGACCTTTTAGTTTACCTTACACAGCGTGCTGCTCAGCCTTTTATGGCCTTGTTAATGAGACATTTTTACAGTGGCTCGATAACAGTTGTTTCACTAACTGATTGCCAACATTTTTCATAAGCTGTGGGCATTTTAGTCACGCTTAAAAGATTTGCGAGGCAAAACAATGGTCGCACTTTCACGCATGAGTTGTCATCAGAATGTTTCACATTCAGTCAAGAAGGACAATTCCAAGTGATCGTGGCTGAGACGGCTTTTAAAATTTTGAAGTTTTTCAACTCACCCCTTCATTAGGAAAGTTTTCCTGTGACTCCTATTTGACTAACTGTTCAGTGTGAAAATTAATTCATGTCTTTCCATTCATAAGCCATTTTCGATATATTAAAATTCAAACTTGGCTCCGAGGCTTGGACGAATAACAAAGGAAAGCACATCGGGGTTGAGGGATTAGTTATTCATTTCTTTTTGTCATTCTCCATAGCCTTAGAGCCATGTTAGTGGGATTGTACTTTATTTGAACAAGGCAATGTTTATTCGACTTCAACAGTAACAACATTGGCATCATCTCAGTGTAATTCGCATTAAATCAACCTCGCTCCCATTTGGCTAAATTTTGTCCGCTTTGGCGTCTGCCTGTTTTGAAAAAATAACTCAAAAATTTAATTTTTACAACTGCCATTTGTCATGGTTTTGATATCCGAAAACCCCAGTCCTTCATATATCCTTTCCAATACGTTAAGTGGAAGGCCACATCAGAAGCCGCGTTTTACGGTGCTCTCACCCCGAGGAGTCTTCATGTTGTCTTTCATTCATAAAACACACGCCTTGGGCAGTTTGTTTCTAATTGTCATGCGAAGAAACTATTGATATGAGCCACAATTCAGCCGGATTTCACCGAACATTTCGCTTTCAGACTCTTTATCAAGACTAAAAAACTTCAGGCAGAAGTGTTGAATACAACCTGCCGAACTATTTTAGTTTATGGACTATTACATATTGTAAACTTTGATGGTTGGACATTTTTGAAAGCTTTTAATTAAGAGAATATTCTGATTGATTGAAAAAGACCAGTGGTCCTCTTCCACCGATCAGATTATACTCTCAGTTGCTCTCAAGAAGTAGGGAGAGACACTCGACTACGTCTCGTGTTTCCCTCTACACTTCTTTCGTGCTCTGGCTGCTTCCTGTTTGCTTTACTACAGAACAGAGCACATTCGAATACGTTGAATATGTTTTGATTTATTTGCATCTATTTTCACTGATGTCCATCTGCCAAATAAAGGCAGATTTTGATGTCTCAGAAACATTCTCTTTCCAATCCCTCTTTCACAACAACAATGGGAAGAACAATAAAGAACAGTCTTACAAGCGCCTTCTTACTTCGTCAAGTAATAAGACAATTAGAATTTTAAAAAAGTTACCCTTTAACCTTTAACTCCCGGAAGTGATTCACATGTAAGTTCTCACTATAATATCTAGACATTATCCAGCAAACAGGTAATGAGAATATTCAAACTCATCAGATAGAAGTTGTTATCGTGATCTGACACCAAACGCTTGTAACTTATTTACAAGGAAATGTGTAGCAGCTAGAGGGGAGAATTAACAGTCAGATCTTGGAGTTAAAGGGTTAACCTTATAAAATCACGCAATTGCATAACGCGGTTGTTTTTCCTTTTTCTTTTTTTTTTTTTTTGGGAGCGAGGTCTTACAAGAGCTGGATGTCACACAGTACTTGTCTATTTCAGTACCTGGTACGTATCGCTCTCTCTAGTAGAAGAAAGTAATATATATGCAATTACTGCTATGTTATCGAAAGAAAATAACGTATTTAACGCGACGTATTTAGTGCAAAATATTCCTTGACAATCACAATCCTATAATGTTTACGTGGGCTACGTTATTACGAATATGCATAAACGCCACAAGTATGCAAAATTGAAATGTCAAAGCAGAGTAGTTCAGTTGTATTTGATGAAGCTTCTACAAATTCCAGTTTCCGATTATTGCACATTAGGAAAGAAACAGTTCGGGTCATTAGAAGTAGAATATAACCTGCGAAGTAAATAAGTGTCTATTGAAACAGCTACTTTAATATGAAAATCTTTTTAGCGGTAGTCACGAGAATACGTCCATCTGGTGTTGCTGCTATTCCATGAGGATAAGGTAAATGAGTGATACTTTTACCAGTGAAGCGACCGTCCAGAGAAAACTGCTGAACTCGATGATTAAACCGATCACACACGAGAAGATTATTGGAGCTGTCTATTAGCAAACCACCCGGGTAGTTAAATTGTGCATCTTGATTGCCTTGTTTGCCAAACTTGTGTAAGAATGTTCCTGACATATCGAGAGCCTTAATGCAATGATTTCCGCCACCGGAGACAAAAAACTTGTTTTTGTAAGGCAGGCACCTCCACGGTTGTTCTAATTTTTCTGGGCCGATGTTTCCAAAGATGGAAATAGTCTCTCCCTCACGTGACATCACCTGTATCCTATTACTCGAAATCTCGGTTACAACAATGCGACGTTCTTCATCCAAACAAACATCAATTGGGTGATTAAACTCTCTTATTCCTACCCCTTTTTTCACTAAAGTTTTCACAACAGTTCCTGTCTGGATATTAATTTGTTGTATACTGTTGTTATTTGTGTCTGCAATCAAAATCTCGTCATCGTTCAAATATGTCACGCCAAATGGGTCTTTAAATTCCCCTTTAGCTCCAATTTTTCTCAGACATTTACCATTTTTATCGAATATGTAAACACAGTTTTTACCAACGTCAGTTACGGCAATATTCCCTGTCGTATTTACCGCGATTCCAAATAGATTGCCGACCTGTTCTCCTTCTAATAAATTCAGATCCAACTCACCGACCACAGTAAGTTCACGCTCCTTCACCACCACAGTGAACGGAGAGTTGGCGAGTGTATCTCCATTAATCTTCACTTCAATGCTGTAAGCACCGGGTACTTTGGGTATAAATTTCACCTCGAATCTACCGTTTTCTGTGTTGTAAACAGTGACTTGTGTGACATCTTTGTCTGGTTGTATGAGAACTTCAATTTGCTGTTTGAGATCAGGCTGGTTACTAATTTCTCCATAACGTGATTTGGAGAATAAAATAAACTTTGCCTCTAAACCAGCCTGAAAAGTTTGATCCAGTCCCTCCAGAGTGGACCAGCTTGCGTCTGCTATGTCTTCGGTGGCGATGTCGCCCAAGTTGAAGCCCACAGCAGGATTGGGGTAAAACTTGATGAACGAGGTCTGATGGTGTTGTGCAGCTTGGATTCCTCGAAGCTCCTCAAATCTCTGTTTCAAATTGTGCTTGTTTTGCATGATATCCCAGCTTGAGCTTTTCTGTATCAAGTTTTCGGCAAAGTCGGCGACTTTGTTGTTTTGTTTCATCAGAGATTCTATTGCCTGTCGGGCCGAGTTGATTTTTTGGAGTCTCGTCACGCACGTTGTCTCGATTGATTCAATGGCTTTCCGCTCGCGCTCTCGAATCTCTGCGATCATCTTCTCGGCTGCTTGAGAGACTCCTCGTTTAGCGACGCAGGCATTTTCTTGCAGGCTGTTTGCTGTATTTTGGAATTGTTGAAGCTTTTCCTTTAAATCGTTTTCCCTTGTTCGGCTCTCTGCGGCATCCGCCATGATGTTTCCTTTCTCGTTGTCAGCCGCTTCGTCGAGCAATTGAACTTTGTGACTTTGATGATCCGTGACGATGCAAAGATGGCAAACACAACACTGACACTGGAGGCAGTAAAATCTCGTCATCTCTCGCTCGTGGTACTTCTTGGTGCAAAAGGGCTGTCGCTTTAACAGAGCCTCGTAATCTTGATCTTGGAAGTCTTTAACAGGCATGACTTTGTGTCCCTCAAAGGCGTCGCGCATAATTTCATGTGCGTTAAGACAGTCGGAACACATGAATCGGGCACAATCAAAGCAGTAATGGACATTGGAGCTGGTCTTCTTACAGTTGCTACAAGTGACGTTTATTCCATCGCCACTTTGCCGAACGGCAAGTATATTCAACAAACTGTTGTGAAAGAAACTAGTTGGCAACGCTTCGAAGCGATTTCCTTCTGGCAAGTGGATTTCTGCCTGACACTCGGGGCATCGAAACTTTCCATGTCTTTGGCTCACTCTTGCGTGTTTTTCTAAACACTCACAGCAAAAGGTGTGAAAACACGATATAATTTTCGGCTCTTTGTAGGTCTCGAGACAAACTGAGCAAGTAACCTGTTTGGTGAGATTTCTCAAGAAGGACTCCATTGTCAGCGTTCAACAAGATTGCTGGTAAACACAGCCTGAAAAAGCTATTGTTTGAAATTCCGAGAAAAACAGGATGTAGCTGAGTGACCTTATGAACTGAAGCTAAATATATTTAGAAACTGGGCTATCATCACGCAGTCACGCTCTTGTTGTAGAAGATCATGGCCGATTAGGTTTCTTTTTTGTTATGATTGTTTGCATGTTTTCACGCACTACTGACTTCGAATTCTTGCTTAAGTTTGAAGTCGTAAATTGACGTGTGGAGTTACAGTGATCTGTTCCTCATTAATTCTTTGACCTTTAAGAGTGACTAACATCTAATTTTCTCAATATAGTATCACCACTGATTTAAACATGACGGACACGAGAATACAAGAAATGATCACCAATTAGGGAAGCGTTTGATTATTAAACATATTCTCCTTGTCAGCACCAGAGGAAATGTATAAAGAACAGTAAGGAGAATATACAGACTGATGTTAGGGTGTAAAGGGTTAATATTTAGACATCTGAGAATGATGTATTCCGTGGTCATTGTATGGCCGATGGGGCTCTACTGGTACTGTGTGCCGTACCACAAAAAATTGTTTCCAGGGCTATGACGGTGTAAGGATTTTTTTTAGGCAAAATGTTGTTAACAGTGAACTTACTGGCGAGCTTCCTGTGGGGACAGTTTGCCAGTAGTTTCGCGCAAGTGAGAAGGGATTACTCTCAGTACGGCGCTCTCCATTCGAGCAATATGGCTTTCGATGTTGGAAGGTTGAATTTCAGGCTATTTTGAAACTGAGTGTTAAATATTTGGAAGGAACCGTTAATTGTTATTTGACGCTATAAGATCAATTCCTCAGAATGAAAGAAAGTTGATGAGTGAGTCAGCCAAATTCAATTCACTGTTCACGGGTTCAATACTTCTGGTGCCAAAATTATACAGAAGAGTGACCTTATGAACTGAAGCTAATTATATTTAGAAACTGGGCTATCATCACGCAGTAACACTTTTGTTATAAAAGATCATGGCCGATAGGGTTTCTTTTTTGTTTAGATTGTTTGCATGTTTTCACGCATTACTGACTTCGAATTCTGGCTTACGTTTTGAATTCGTAAATTGACGCGTGGAGTTAAACTGAATTAATTCTCATTAATCCATTGACCCCCAAGAGTGACTAGCATGTGATATCTCCTTATGATATTACTCCTGATTTAAACATTAAGATCAATAGAATACAAGAAATGATTACCACCTAGGGAAGCGTTTGAATATTAAACATATTCTCCTTGTCTGTTTGGGTCGCCACTGTAAATAATTTGGCTATTGCTTTTTTTATTACTTGTCGAGGTCCAGACTCACCAGTTTTTCCAAAATTACGGGTTTGAAAGAAGCGGCTAACGAACTCATAACAGAGTTCGTTGCCTTTAAGAAGTCAATAGAAAGTACTGCAATTTAAATACTACATCATGACTTTCCAAAATTACTTTCCATTAATAAAATTTTGTAAAATTAAGGTCAACTTCTAAACTTTAGTTTATATCCTTTTGATTGTGTTTGCGCTAAGAATTTTCATCTAAATTTGTTAGAGGGGCGTTGAATGGAAAGCAGAACAGGTAAAGGTGCGTAGGAAGAAGTGCCTTTGATATTAGAATAAAACGGCCTATTTGTCATGATTCGTGGGTGTTTCTGTTCATGCTCTAAGACGTTTTAAGAAGTAATTTTTTATTTGGAGTCAGTTGAAAGTTATTTGTGATTGCTTTAGCTTCGCTTTACTTGGTTTTTTGATTTGTTCTGAAAATTCGTGCCCATTTCTCAAATCAATCAGATTCAAAAGTAAAACCAGTCACGTTTTCAGGTCACTCGCGTTTTCCTGCGCTTTGCTCTGTGATCGCTTTTATTTTGATTTTTGAGCTCATAAGCCATTTTCGATATATTAAAATTCAAACTTGGCTCCGAAGCTTGGGCGAATAACACAAAGGAAAGCACATTGGGGTTGAGGGATTAGTTATTCATTTCTTTTTGACATTATCCATAGTCTCAGAGCCATGTTTGTGGGATTGTACTTTATTTGACCAGGGCAATGTATATTCGACTTCAACATCACCCAACAGTAACAACACTGGTATCATCTCTAATTCGCATTAAATCAACCTCGCTCCTATTCGGCAAAATTTTGTTCGCTTTGGCGTCTGCCTCTTTGGAAAAAATAACTCAAAAATTTAATTTTTACAACTGCCATTTACCATGGTCTTGATATCCGAAAAACGCAATCTTACCGATCCATTTAGCCTTTCCAATACGTTAAGTGGAAGGCCACACCACTTACAGAAGCCGAGTTCTACGGCGCTCTCACTCCGAGGAATCTTTATGTTGTCGTTCATTCATAAAACACACGCCTTGGGTAGATTGTTTCTAATTGTCGTGCGAAGAAACTATTGATATGAGCCACAATTCAGCCGGATTTCACCGAACATTTCACCTTCAGACTCTTTATTAAGAATAAAAAACTTCAGGCAGAAGTGTTGAATACAACCTGCCGAACTATTTTAGTTTATGGACTATTGCGTATTGTAACCTTTGATGGTTGGACATTTTTGAAAGCTTTAAATTAAGAGAATAATCTGATTGGTTAAAAAAGACCAGTGGTCCTATTCCACCGATCAGATTATACTCTCAGTTGCACTCAAGAAGTAGGGAGAGACACTCGACTACGTCTCGTGTTTACCCCTACATTTCTCTCTTGCTCTAGACGCCTCCTGCGTGCTCTACTACAGAACAGAGCACATTCGAATATGTTGAATATGGTTTGATCCATAATGATTTTAGATATATGAAATTCATATATTTGCACTGCGGTGAAGAAACGAATTTAAGAGATCCTCGCAGCTAAGATCACTACTGAACTAGTAGTTGAAAATAGGACCTGAAAAAAATTCAGGCCCGCACGGGATTTGAACCCATCACCTCTGCGATACCGGTGCAGCGCTCTACCAACTGAGCTAACAAACCAACTGGGAGCTGGTCAATATGTTGGGTCCAAATAAACCATCCAAGTGATGAATAATGTTTTGATGTATCAGCATCTATTTCCGCTCATGACATCTGTCAAATACAGGTAGATTTTGACGTATCAAAAACATCCTCTCTCCAATCCCTCTCTTTCACGACAACAATGGGAAGTACAAGTACGAACAGTGTTACAAGCACCTTCAAGTTATAAGACAATTAGAATTTTAAAAAAGTTATCCTTTAATCCTTTAACTCCCGGAAGTGATTCACATGTAACTTCTCACTATAATATCTGAACTTTATCCAGCAAACAGGTCATGAGAATATTCAAACTTATCAGATAGAAGTTGTTATCGTGATCTAACACCAAACACTTGTAACTTATTTACAAGCAAATGTGTAACAGCTAGAGGGGAGAATTAACAGTCAGATCTTGGAGTCAAAAAGTTAACTTTACAAAGTCACGCAACCGCATAAAACGGTTCTTTCTGTATTTTTTGTTTTTGGAAGCGAGGGCTATCAAGAGCTGGATGTCACATAGTACTTGTCTATTTCAGCACCAGGCACGTATCGCTATTTCGAATAGAAGAATGCAATATGCAATATATGCAATTAGTGCTAAGTTATCGAAAGAAAATAATGAATGTAATGCGACGTATCTAGTGCAAAATATTCTTTAACAATCAGAATCTTATAATATTTACATGTGCTACATTATTACGAATATGCATAAATGCCACTAACATACATAATTTGAAATCTCTAAGCTAAATAGTTCAGTTGTATTTGACAAAGCTTCTTCGAAAAGAAGAATAAACTTACAAATTCCAGTCTCCGATTATAGCACATTAGGAAAGAAACAGTGTGGGTCATTAGAAGTAGAATACAAACTGTGAGGTAAATAAGTGTCTATTGAAACAGCTACTTTAATATGAAAATTTTTTTAGAGGTAGTCACGAGAATACGTCCTTCTGGTGTTGCTGCTATTCCACGAGGATTAGGTAAATGAGTGATACTTTTACCAATAAAGCGACCGTCCAGAGAAAACTGCTGAACTCGGTTATTCCACTGATCACACACCAGAAGATAATTGGAGCTGTCTATAAGCAAACCACTAGGGTACCTAAATTGTCCATCTTGATTGCCCTGTTTGCCAAACTTGTGTAAGAATGCTCCTGACTTGTCGAAAGCCTTAATGCAATGATTTCCGGTATCGGAGATAAAAAACTTGTTTTTGTAAGGCAAGCAGCTCTTTGGGTGTTTTAATTTTTCAGCGCCGAAGTTGCCAAAGATGGAAATGGTCTTTCCCTCACGTGACATCACCTGTATCCTGTTATTACGAAATTCGGTCACAACAATGCGACGATCTTCATCTAAACAAACATCACCTGGGATATCAAAATCTCCTATCCCTATACCTTCTTTCCCTAAAGTTTTCACAACAGTTCCTGTCTGAATATTAATTTGTTGTATTCTGTCGTTATTTGTGTCCACAATCAAAATCTCGTCATCGTTTGAATATGTCACGCCACGTGGGGCTATATATTCCCCTACAACCTTAATTTTTCTTAGAAATTTACCATTTTTATCGAATATGTAAACACATTGTTTACCACTGTCAGTTACGGCAATATTCCCTTTCGTATTTACCGCGATTCCAACGAGAATGTCGACCTGTTCTCCTTCTAATAAATGCAGATCCAACTCACCGACCACGATAAGTTCGCGCTCCTTCACCACCGCAGTGAACGGAGAGTTAACGAGTGTATCTCCATTAATCTTCACTTCAATGCTGTAAGCACCAGGTAGTTTGGGTATAAATTTCACCTCGACTATACCGTTTTCTGTGTTGCAAACAGTGACTTGTGTGACATCTTCGGCTGGTTGTATGAGAACTTCAATTTGCTGTTTGAGATCAGGCTGGTTACTAATTTCTCCATAACGTGATTTGGGGAATAAAATGAACTTTGCTTCTAAACCAGCCTGAAGAGTTTGATCCAGTCCCTCTAGAGTAGACCGACTTGCGTCTGCTATGTCTTCGGTGACAATGTCGCCCAGTTTAAAGCCCACAACAGGAGTGGGGTAAAACTTGATGAACGAGGTCTGATGGTGTTGTGCAGCTGGGA